TCATCTTAACAACATAAATAAACATAAAAACCACATATACACAATAATACGTATATTGGTCCACCTAGTCGTTGGAAAAGAAAAAGTAAAAGGATAGAAGTAAAGAGAAAGAGAGACAGATAAAGGTTTCTCAACAAGCCTGTCTACTCTACCCTACTTTCTAACTTCGTATCAGGGTTTTAAATTTAGCCACGAGAGTGCGTTCCAATCGTAAATGGAGTACGATAAACCATAAGCTCTTGGAAAAAGATAGGCGTAAAGTCGACGTTCTTTAAACGCATCATACTGCTAGGAATCCCTTAACGTAGTTACATCCAGTGTAACAAGATTCGACTCGCAATTGGTGCGTTTTGTTTCCCCCAGTATTCATATGAAGTATTTTTTTTTACCAAAGACGGACCATTGTTGTCTCTCTTTGTACATCGTCGTAATCGTTGTGTTGAGGGAGCATGCCTGCTCGCTCGTCGTGACTTTGGGCTCGCGGGCGTCAGAAATGATGTCATTGGGACCACCGCCAACATTCCACCTGGTAGTCTCGGTGGCGACCGGACTGTTGCGCTTCGCACGGGAGACGGGGCTGCCCGCGGGTCTTCCACGTTGATAGGTTTCTCCCCGAAAGGGTCCCCGGCACAATGATCCAAGGACTGAGCTCCCGGGTTAACAAACTCCACGAAAAAAAAATAATCATTGTGTTTTGATTATTTTTTTGGTCATAAGTTATCATTGTCTTATAAGTATCTTTTGTCAAAGATATTCAGAGACAGAAATCAGTACACATTAGAGTTTGATGATGAATATCTTTTGAATACTTAATTAAATCGCCAAAACATGAGACACCATTTTTATAGAGCAGTTAATTTCCTACAAAAATTTGTATTGCGCATTTTTTAATAGTCATTTATTGTCGAGTTATAAAATTCATAAACAAAAATGAAATTTGTCTTAAAATAATACAATTTTAATCTTCAATATCATTTAAATGGTGAGATTTACGGAAAAAATATATAATACCTTTTTTGTAGCGCATTAAATTTTCTACAAAATTCTTTCAGAACATTTTTCTGTACAATCAATTAAAGATGAAGTATGAATTTTATTCTATTGGACTAAGAAAAAATACAAAACTGCGATACGGAGGATCTTCCTATTCAAATTAAGAGCTCATATTTGGTGAGAATTTTTGTAAGGTGTATAGCAACCCATTTTTCCGTGTCACTTGTAAAAAAAGAATAATTGACTTTTTTTACCCACCCTAATATATATATATATATTTACCCACCTATATATTATATTATATATTGTATTCATCACGAATTGTTCTTTGGATATTTAATAAAGTATGTCAAATTATAAAATGTAAAAGTTCAGATAATTCAATTTTATAATATGCATGTACATGCGTGCATGTGAAAAAAACTATTAGTTTATAAAAAAATAACGATGATAATATCATTAAATTTTTTTATTATCTAAGTGACCTTGTACTTCCCGAAGATTGTAAGAAATNGGTAGGAGGAAAGGAAGAAAAAAAAAGAAGAAACAAAAATCAACAGATAAACTAAGCACATTTGTTAGTCATAATTAATTATTTATTTATAATACATTTTGTGTTGTAAAATCTTTCCCTTTTTGAATATTAGTATTATTTTATTAACAAATAGACGCGAGTAATCTTTTCGATGCATTCGTACACGCTATGTAACAACAATATATTTATTCCACGAACATTTGACTCTTCTTATAAGCGAATAGCGTATACATACGTAGAGGGAAACGATGACCCATCGAGTTGACTCCAATCAGTGAAAAAACTTAAGACACACGAGACACTTATGGGAGTTGAATCATTAACGACTCACCGGGAGGATACGTGTTGGCAAAACCAAAGTGTTGACTTGGAAAATTTTCGAAGATCGTAGCAATATATAAAATGGGTACACTACTCTGATATCGATCAATAAATATCATCGCATTATTCTCGAAACTAAAATGAAATTTGTGTATTTTTGTTTTTGTTTTCTGTTGCAGATATTGCCAGTCATCTTGTTATAAAAAGGATTTTGAGAAAAATAAAGGAGAAATAATTGAAACAAATATATAAAAAGGAAGTAAAGAAGTAGTGGGGATCTAGCAAACCTATAGAAACAAAATTCTCTCTTTTGCTTGATATCAGAGATAACGTTACGAGAAAATAATTAATCTGCATAGCAAACAAACGACGCGTTTCGCATATATTCTTTTCTCTCTCACTCTTTTATATTTTTTCTCATATTATTTGTCATAGTCATCGGTAGAAGTAGCAGCAACAGCAGCATCAGCAGCAGCAGCACCAACAGGTACCCAAGTAAAACGATACGGATTTGCAAAAGGAAAATATAAGAAGAATTAAAGTGAACAAGTTAAAAGACGGAGGAGACTTCCATAATATATAGAACAGAGTCGTATTTTGCTCATCAACACTGAGTGATTCCAATTGACGATCGTCTCGACCCTCGGGCTCTCGTCTTATTGGTCAGCCTTTTAATACGTTACGTTACCATTGGAGATCTGTTCTTTTCGAAAGAACATACGAACGAACTAACTAACTAACTAACTAACGACGGTTACACACTCATTCGAAAACTTTCCGAGTAGACAGTATCGTCAGACAGAATCGTCCATCAAATCTCTAAGTGGATCGATATCTTCTATCTAGTCAACTGATTTATCTTTTGAGTATTTATATAGAAAGTAAAACCGCTATTGGTGAAAAATTAAATCAACTAAATCTGTTACTACCTGTGTGTCTGCTGTTGTTGTCACCTTAAAACCAAATAAATAATATCGACTGAATGGCTATCTACTGGCTCCTGCTGTTTGAAAGACTTTGATTGTTCTTTTTTTTTCTTCTTTTTTTTTTTTTTTATAACACGTACAAAAGAAAAGAAATAATAAGATTGAAAAAAGGTGATATTTCATTTTGAAACAAAATTTCAAAAACGTAAAACCACCTTCTGTCACGTGAAGAAACAAAAACGTTTTCTCATTGTTAATCACAATTCGTGGAAAGGATATAAATCTGACGAGTGTCAGTGGGTGGTACCTAAGAGTACGGGGGAAATTTTGAACACTCCCATTTGGAAAGAGAGTTGTTAGTTTGTTTGTTTTTTTTTTTTCGTCAGCATAATGGAGCGAAGGATTTTGAAAATGTGGTGATAACGTGAGGAGGCAGAGGCCTTTGACAAACAAGACACTATCCAATGTGTGAGCAATAGTCGTTAGAAAAAAACGAAAAAAAAAAAAAAGCAAAAGAACTATATAATAGAACAATCATAGTTTGTCACTTTTTGTTTGGAGATATTATTCGGTACGTTTGACCGACAAGGTTGGTTAATCATAAAATAATAATATAATAATAAAGATAATCCAAAGGAAAAAAAAAAAAGAAAAGAACGAAAATCTGTGTTATAATACTGCTTCAATAAAAAAAAAGAGATTATAAGATAAAATAGAAGAAACAAGAAGAAAAGAACTTTATAAGAAACAAGATGCATTGCACCCAAGGTGTGGCAATGGTATTCGAAGACGCGTTCGTCGTCTTTTCACGTTTTTTGTCGCTCAAGTCGCGGGGTTGCGCACTTTTGGAAACACATCGACAGCGTGAGACAACTGGCATCAAGAAACTGTACAACAGCTTCTTCGTGATGTTCTAAGGGAAAGCTACAAAGTTTTTCTATGAAAATATAATAATACTCGCCCACACATATCACACCACATTAAAAGTTTGAAGAGTTTGTCGGGTGATGCGTTTCCGTTCGCTTCCAAAGGAGTGTCCTAAGACCCGGTGGAAGAAAAAAATCAAAGATACTCGAAGTAATAAACGGAAGTAAAGTAGAATATTCGATGTAAAAGAAAAAAAATCAAAGTTGTAAGTAACTTTTGATCGAACGTACAAAGAAAAAGAGAGAAAGGGAGAGAGAGAGAGAGAGAGAGAGAGAGAGAGAGAGATGCTACTTGGATTAATCAGAGCAACTATATCAAAATTCATCTTTCTGGTCCCCAATTTATTTGCAATAAATATCATTTCGATAATATAATCGATTATGTTGATTGAAGGATTAACAACAAGACCAACGGATTTCTGCATTTTCTTCCGACTTATTCTTCTTCTTCTTCTTTCAATTAAGTTTAATTATAGAGGATAAGCTAGATAAAATTTCAAATCCCCAATATATTATCACGGTAGCATTGATTTAATAATCCCTGAGGCCACTTAATGGAGCTCCAAATAATAATGGATGGCGGTACGGAAACCCTGAACGAAGCCATGTGGTTTACCGGCACTCCATCGCCGTCTTACGAACAATTATCATCGCCTAATCACATGAACAGATGCGAAGGAGGAATCGTTGCTCAACAAGTAAGTCAACAAAATCTAATACAGTTAGTATTTTGTCTTCATTTGATATATATCATCATTTTATTATTTGTGACAGACATCAGTAGGATATAACGATTCACGGGATACCACATTGTGGCAAGATAAGCAAAACGCGATCAAAAATTGTTCAGATGAGAGTGATCAAATAGACTCGAATAACGTAACACCACGTCGTCACGTGTCATCGTCTTCCGAGCAAACTAACAATCGTCCATCTCAGCATAACAATTTAAAACGTCGAGCTGCTGCTGCTGCTACCGAGGAGTCTGCTGCTGTACAGCACGTTACTGAACTCGATAGGAAACACGCTAGAAGAGACGGTCAGTATGTTTAGAAAAAAGATTCCTTTATTTTTTGTTATCTTTATTCTATCTACAATGAAATCACCTGTGTTGGTTTTATATTGTACCTTCTCTTTTTACTTCTTGAGTCTCATCAAATGGCTCAACTTTGTTAAAGCATTTACGATGATGCTATCTTCTACAGGTCAATTATCAATTTACCGAATGACGATGACTGCGACTACGTCTTAGCGTCATAACGTTCCAGTAATTCTATTCGCATCTACAAATTTACCAACGACCAAACGCTAACGTGTGCATATGTATGCATGCATGCATGCATGCATGAATGTGAGAACGTTTATCGACGTATCTTCCTTTGTGTGTGAGTGTTTGTATACGTATGCACAAGTACACGTCAAATCTCGTTTCGCATAATGGAAATTGGCATCTTCCTCCTGAACGCTATGCGATGCAACGCGACGAAACGAGGACGAAACATCTTCCGAAAATTCTCACGAATAGGATCATCGATTTTTACATCAACAAATTCTTTCATTTCTACACAAAATGATTATATTACATTATTCATTTCTTAGTAACCAATGTTCCATACAATAACTAGCTCCGAGTCATTCGTCATTATCTTTAAGTTGTTATAGATACATCATTTTAAAGGTCGTGGCACAACCGACCCCGATTGCATTGTCGTAGCCACAGCTAATATGTTGTGCATTATAATAGTTAATCAAACGAATCTTTGTTACAAAGTATCTCATGTTTGAGTTTTAGTTAGAATTTGCAAAAAATTTATAGAAAATTGTATAAATGTGAAACGCTTTAGTATAGCTATTCGAAGTTTGTGCTTTGAACTGTTGGAAAATGATCAGAGTACTTTTTTAGTATAAATCCGACGCCTTTTCGCCCACGTGGTCAGTCGTAATGATAACTCTTGCTTCGAGTACATAGTGTATCGAGCAGATTAGTCTACTGTAGAAACGAGAAAGAGAAAATCCAACGAGCAGTGTACATTTTCTAACGTGATAATAAAATATCATCTTAAAGGGTTTAGAAAATTTGAAAAAACAATTAAGTACATTATTTGTGTGTAATTATTAGATTATTATCTTGTTACGGTTTCAAGTAGAATGAAGTGGAGTGAAGTTGAAAGATCAAGGGTGCCGTATTTTGAAAGTCGACGTTATTCCCCGATAACATTAAAAAATAGACGACGTTACCCCACCACTCAAGATATCAAAGAGAGAATCGGTCCGATGCATCATCAATATCATGTTACTAATTGCGATAATAATATTCAAAGTGGTATGATACATCCGAGTTTATGTATTCGGACAGATGCTCTTTACCTTTTTCATTTGGATAGATAGAAAAACAAAAGAAAACAAAAAAAAAAGAGGAAGAAAATATTCAAGTAAACCTTTCTACTCGTAGGATCTATTGGAAGCAATGGTTCAGGTCAAGGTTGGTCCACACAGGTGGAAGAACTTGCAGAACATCTGGCTGACTTTGATGGATCATTGTCCGCACTTGCTGCCTCAGATCTGGCTACAGCTGTTGCCTCTTACAACATGAGGTAAGAAAGGTCATCAAACTTTTCAAAACGTTTCAAATTCAATTGATAAGACTAAATGATAAGACTAAAAACATTTCAAAATTCGCGCCGTCGTTTCTTTCCCGATGTTTATCATTATGTTATGTTATCGATGGTGGATGGGTGGTTAATACTGTAGGTTGATAATGTAGATTTCTAACATTAAATCAAGGTGGAAATGAATCTCGATCGCGAACCGTGTGCACAGTGTTCACGTCAAAACTAACTTTGAGTCAGAAATCCGGTTTTAACTGGACGCCAGTCGTTGGCATTACGTCGTACCGGCGACATGGCCACTAAATTTTAATCAAGATTCATCAGCCATTATTGGAATGAGTATATTATCATTTTATAAACAATCGAGCTTCACAAAAAAAAAAAAAGATAAACCAATTATTTTCTACGGTCAAACGAATGGGGCATATATATGTATGAATATATAAATATTTATATATTACGTCGAAGACACGTGGACAATCATTTATTCTTTTATTTTTTATTTTGTTTTGTTTTGTTTTGTTTTTAAAACGTAAGCATTTTAAGTGCTAGATACGTACAATCACGAAAAAAAAGATATTTAATAATTTTATATTTAATTTATTATTTATATATTAAATAACATTAAAACCCTTAAAGTGCACACTTGGTAAAAGTTACTTAAAGTGCACTGTGGGTGTTTGACACCCCAACGTGTTTGAACGCGTCTCCTGAAGCAGCTATTTAATATTTAAACCTCGCAATTTTTTTCAAAGTAGTTTGATACATCTTTTTAAAAATAGAATAGGTTTTATATCCATCTGAATTAACACTAAATAGCACTAGACAAATAACCCATTTTTTCAAATTCAGTACCGTTTTCGAGAGATCAAAAATTTGTTGGGGTGTCACACACCCCATGTGCACTTTAAGGATTAATATTATTTAATTATAAATATATTATAAAAATTAAAAATATATTAAATAAATAATATAATTAATTTATATATATATTAAAAAATATAAAAAAAAAATATAATAATATTAATAATATTAATAAAACAAGAAGGGGGGGTCGGGGGAGCTTTCATTCAGAATGTTTTTTTTAATTAGTTTACAAAAAACAAAACAAAAAACAAAATAAAGATTAAATTTGACAAAAAATAAAAGAGACATTTTATTTAACAAATGAAACATTTAATATGCACATTGTACAAATTTCTCATTAACAATTAATGAAAATCATTTGTGATTAAATGTTTATATAACTTGAAAAAAAAAAAATGTTTACGTATAGAAAGAAAAAGAAACTCGAATCAAAGTCCTCGTATAACTTTTGTTATTTAAACAAATCATAAATCGTTCAAGAGTATACAAAAAGAGAAAGAGAGAGAGAGAGAGAGAAAGAGAAAGAGAAAGAAACTGTGTATAAGGTATGTGAAACGAGAACTGTCAGTGATCAGCTGATGTGATGCTAGAGTGCACGTGGAAATATAACATTTCCAAATATTTTATTATATTCGATAATATTCGATAATAATATCGATTTATTATTAGCTCGTATCGTGTATTTTTAATGTTACAATTAATTATCTTTTATGTATATAAGTAAACTTTTTCTGAAAATACTACATGTTTGTTGTGTATATGTGTGTGTGTTTCTGATTACAAAATGATGATCTCGTGAAAGAAACTACTACTATTTAAAAGTGCAAACAGAGAAAATGTTCTAATCGATTGTAAATATTTGTCCATAAAAATTCGATAATAATCAAATAATCGAGAAAGATAAGATAAAAAAAAAACGACAATTCGTTTCAATTGTTAAGGAAGGAATAGGATGCATCAATATATAAAAAGTGGGTAAGTATTGAAAAAAAAAAAACAAAAACAAAAAAAAAGAATTGATTCGTTTTTATAATTATTTTTAACACTAGATATACCAGATCAGTCATTTTAATTCAAAATGTCTACTTCATGTAACATTTGATTTCTATAAATAATTTAAAAATGTTTATAAATCCATTGATCTATTAAAATTATTATTGTTAAACACATTTTGTGTTATTTTTGAAGAATAAATAAAGACTAGTAAGCCTCAAAAAGCATTTTTTTTTTTTGTTATACATCAGTCATTTTGACTAGTGTGGTAGAAATAGTTATACTGAAAAAATGGTGATATATCTAGTGTTAAATAAAATTCATCATGCTAGTGAAACTTGTACACACTTTATGCTTTCTAAATGAATTTTTGATCATCATAGAAACTCACATGGGACAAATAAATTTGTCATTTTACCTAATTCGTCAAATTTATTTATCATCATTCGTTAGTATTGTTTGTTAAGAAACTTTTATACAGGGTTGATGATACCAAAGACGGTAAAATACACAGGTGAACCAGTGCGTTCCAGTTTTGGCTGACCTTACTGATTCTAGTTTTTATTACATCAATTCCTTTCTCTCTTTCTGATTTTTTTTTTTTTTTATTGACAATACTTTTTTATTTTATTTTTTATCTATATTCTATCGAACTAAGGATAAAAAAAAGGTTAAAGGAATTTTAATTACAAAATTATCTAAGGTAAGTCGCGTAAATCAAGTTTATGTCCATTTACAATGAATATTTGAAAGAAATTAAATTTAATAAAAGAAAAAAAAAGAAGAAAGAGAGTAAGGTGGGATAAATTTATGATCTCGTGTTAGTAGATAGTTAAGATAATTTGAAAAATATAAATAATCATAAAAATTTGTTTATTAGAACAATCTTTAATCCGTCATTATCGACTTTCGACTTCGCACCTTGTTCTTTTCCGATCACGTAATTTACAAATACGCGTTCCTCTCGTATTTCTTTTAATTATGCTATTACTTCGATAAGAAAAAAAATAACAAAAAAATATTTTTTAATATAATTTCAGCGAAGCTTTACTCGCCTTTCCATCGGTCTTCAAACAGGAAGCACCGTCACCGGAAAATCAACACAACAATTCAAAGTAAGTAAAAATGACGCGCGTTTAACAAAACGTATTATTATAATTGTAAAATATTCACATTGCAAAATATGTATTTATCTAATAATAATAATAATAATAATAAACATTAGATTAAGAAAAAAAAATATATTGAAAAAATCTAACGGAATTTACCAGGAGGCTCCCCTGCAAAGCAGAGAAAAACTGATAAACAATTTGATAAATGCATGAACGAACTAACCCGTTTCGTTGTTATCGTCGTATACTTGTGACTCCTTCGGGTCAAATCTTTAGTCCCCACGCCATGTCTTATGAAATAATCTGCGCATCCGTCGAGTAAATGAGTTAATTGTCATTAACTTTAAGTACTGGTGTAGTAATAATTGTGTTAAGGAAAATCTTTTCAAAATCTATAAATATTAATCGAAACTCTAGATATCAAATTTTTGATTATTTTTGCTATATTACATTATCTAAACAAGATAACTGATAATTAAATTATAAAATGAGATAAATATCGAATCTTTTAATCGATAAGAAATCGTTCAAGATTAACTTAATGTAAAATGTGAAAGTACTATGAAAACTACCTTTTTAAATTTATAGTGAGTTAGTTGAGAGAAATCGTGCCAAGTATTGACTATGATAATTATAGTAATTAACGGCAAATGTCTTTTTTTACAGCTTAAATCACGTGACTCAGAGAGCAATAAACGGAGGAGGACCAGGTGCGAACAATGCTGCGAACAACAACGTCAATGCAATTGAAACGGATAACAACAGCAACAATGGACAAACAACATCAGCAGCAGCAGCAGCTAGTCTTCATCAGCTGCTTTATTCGAGTAACGAGGAATATCCGGCGACTTCGACCTCCGGAAATCACGTTTCTTCATCTTCCCAACAAGGAAATGAATTCAACGAGGATTGTCGGTAAGGAAATCAAAAGTAAAAAGGAATCTAACAAAATTATTTTTTTTTTTTTCTTAAACGAGGAACAACAAATTGTCTTTTTGTAGATTCCAATACGTTCTAGCAGCGGCCACTAGCATTGCAACGAAGGTTAACGAGGAAACGCTTACTTATTTAAACCAAGGTCAGTCGTATGAAGTCAAATTGAAGAAACTAGGGGATCTATCGGCCTATCGTGGAAGGATTTTGAAGGTACTTGGTCGCGCGCTTATCTCATTAAAAACCCATTAGGAAAATACTCTTATGTTTGGGTAGCGGCATCTTCAAAAACGATTCGGTGATATGCTAAGAGATTATACAACAAACGTGTGTGTTCATACTGGACTAGTACACGTGCTGACCACCACGCTGCTCGTGTGATTACTTTAACTTATTTTTATGAAATATCAAATGAATATTGGAATCGTGTTCTTCGGGGGATTACCTGTACTGTATTTTATGATTTTAGCTAGTCTTATTTGTTTTTTTTATAAAATATATTTGTCTTTACATTTCATTACGCGAGTTAACGGTGTGTCATCGACGTTCGAAAGATGTGAGTCTCCCAAACGGTACTACAACGCCTCTGAAGGGACATACGAACTTTCTGTTTCAGTCGACAATTCGTATTTGTTTTCACGAGAGGCGTCTTCAATACACCGAGCGTGAACAAATGCTTGCTTGGCAACGTGCTAGACCAGGTGAAAGATTACTCGAGGTAGACGTGCCACTTAGTTATGGTATGGTAGACGTTTGTCAACCATCTCCGTCCAGTAATAGCGTTGAATTCATGTGGGACCCTACTAAAGAGGTTGGCGTTTATATCAAGGTAAGATAAGACAACGTATCTAAATATAAAACTATTATTATATTTATTCTTACTTAATCTCGTAGATTTGTTTGTTTTCTTTCTTTTCTTCAGGTTAATTGTATTAGCACAGAATTTACACCAAAGAAACACGGTGGCGAAAAAGGTGTACCATTTCGAATTCAAGTTGAAACACGATTACCAGGTGGACCCAGATTGCATGCCGCCTCTTGCCAAGTCAAAGTTTTTAAATTAAAAGGAGCCGATCGTAAACATAAACAAGATCGCGATAAAATTCTACGACGACCACCCCACGAACAGGACAAATATCAACCTGGTTACGATTGTACTATTTTATCCGACGTAAGTTTTATTTCTATCCTGATTCTAACAATAATAAGGAAAAACCAAGTTATTGGAACACCGATTTTTGGTTTGCTTGCATTCATCAACCCCTATAACTGTGTATGTCTGTTAACCTGATTTTTCCTCTCGTAAATTGGAACTACTATTAACATGAAAATTGCTGAAGCTACCACAAAAAGTATTTGAACAGAACTTTGAAATCTTTAATATTTAGGAGGACCACCTTTAGGCACGAATAAAATATCTTTTAAGCGATTATGTATATATGCATAGTATTTACTAAGTTTTCTGTAATACATGGTGGTCTTTTAAACTTGTTTTTGAATTTTATATTAAATAATTTCATATATCGTAGATCTATTTATATTGAATAATTTATTTACTTCACCGTATGTGCCTTTCCTTATTTGCCCCACATGACAATTGAATGTTCTTTTACTTTCAGAAATTTTAGATTTATGTTGAACACATGATGATCAATATTTAATTTTAAAATTCAATCAATCAAATTCTCATAGAAATAATACCTTTATTAAATTCTGTTTAAAGATTCCATTAGAAGCCCTAACGTCATCGTCATCGTCGTCAAATTTGATAACGCAAAATGGTACAAGTCCCTATTCGTCGACCGAGGCAATGTAAGTGTACTTTTTTTTTCTTTGTCTTTGTATCTCTAATAATTGTCACTACGTTAAAAGTAAATTTATCCTCATTAATCGTAACAAACACAATTTTACATTGCTGCGTACATGAGACTGACGATGAAGTTAATTCAATCGGCAAAATTACGAAACTAGAGTCGTATGAATATGCGATTGGCTACGATCTTACATTTCCATAATATTGCTTTAACGAAATCAATTGTATGTTTATTTATTCTGTTGTTTTTTTTTTTTTTTTTTTCAATTAAGATTGCGAAACAATATACTAACTATCCGACGTAAAATGATTTCGTATTTGCTCGTTATTTTGGTATTCCTAAATAAACCCTATAATAATATACCAATGAAAATAAGCAGAAATTAGTCTTGCATACCAATTCGAATAAACCACAAACAAAAGTACCCAAGTCATACGTAACTTTACGTAACTCTTTTTTAAACATGACGAATTAAAATCGATATCATTTCCTATCGATCTTTATCAGAAATACAATGGGTATCAAAAAAAAGAAATTCGATTATCTTTTTATCAAGAACGCAAAACATTTTCGCGTTTCATATAGGATTGACCAATCGGCATTTAAAGATGAAAATAAACAGAAAAAATAATTTTTAATCGCGTACACATTGGCGTTAAAATTAACATGTAAATATAGACTACGTGGGGGGTCGGGAGAGAGAACATAGAAATGTGTTTTTGAAAAATCTGTTTATTATCATCGAGAAGCTAATAAAAACGCAGCAACAGCAGCACAGTAGCTGCCACCACCGCGTATCGAATAGAAAAAAGAAAAAACAAATATGTTTTGGTAAAGATCTATAAAACGAAACTTGGCATAGGATGTAAGTGCATTTAAAGGGGAGTAAAAAAGCGAGCATGCAAGCGCACCTCCTCCCCTCCTCTCGTCTCTCCCTCCCTCCCACCGTTATGCACTCGAACATAATAAAATAAGGAGAATGCGCACAGCGTTGTCGGATTATCTAGAACCGTTTAGTGGTGTGGTGGTGATGGTATAGTGGTAGTGGTTAGAGAGAGAAAGAGTATAGCAACAGAAGCAGCAGGGGCTGAGGAGTTAAACGGAAGGAAGAGAGGTGGAGGTTACCAATACACACAACCAACACACATCAGTCCAAGAAACAGCAACAGGAACGTTGTATTCAGTAACTGTGGCTAATAAACTGGCTCGAACTGGCGCGAGCCGGCATCTGGTAGAGCCGGCAGCGACGCAACAACTTCGTCGTCGTTGTATAGAAAGGAGAGGGATGTGGAGAAAGACAGACGAACGGATGGACGGACGGACAGACCGAAAGAGAAAGAACAAGAGAGAAAGAGAGAGAGAAAGATCGTACCGCACCGCACGATGGACAAATAAATTCAGAACGTCGCGTCGTCGTACGATCCAAGCACGCGTACCGTCCAATATCTGCTCTTCTCTGCTTTGCTCTGGCCTGTTCTGATCTTTTCTGATCTGTTCTGATTTACTTTAGCCTAGCCAGCTTGTTTTTCATTTGTTTATTTAATTTTTCAAAGCAAATATTCAAGTTGTTTTCTTCTTGGCACCAAGTCTTATTGGTCACGAAAGTCTTGTTGTTTGCTACGATTAAGAGCATTGGTAAACTGAATTGAGGATTAGGGTTTTAAATAATTGTAGGAGAGGAAAGGATCTAAGAAGAATCTAGCCAAATCGTAAAGATGATCTATCGTTGAGAAATTAAGAAAATAAAATCAATGTCTCATTGGTGGGGTGGTATCGGTGCGTCATATACCAAACAGAAGTTTAGTGGTGTTACCAACGAAGTTCTTCAACGTTGATGGTGGTAGTGTGCTGTTATCATCATCGTTATCTTTCAACAAACCTTTAAAGCGTTTCTTGCGAATTCTATTGCAATTTTTGGTCGATCAAATTTATTCGAAATATTTTCCAACGAAAAATAATACAATAATTGTTATCATCTTGAAGAACGGTGGTGCACTTGTGAAAAAGTCCAGTTGCGAAAAGTAGAAACGAGAGAGGAGTTTAAGAAGAGGAGGAAGGAGGAGAGGAGGAGGAGGACAAGGAGGAGGAGGACAAGGAGGAGGAGGACAAAGAGTATATAGGAATAATCGCGAGTGATCGTGCGTGCTAAAAGTTCTCTTACGTAAGCCAGCGAAACAGTAACACACAGAGAAAGAGAAAGAGATAGAAGAGGAGGAGTTAGGTGGAGGTGGAGGAGGAGGAGGAAGAGGTACTGAAAAGTATCTCGTGTGTCTCACCAAGTGAAATATTGCAGTGTGCAGGGTTTACGTTATTGTGCATCCTCTAATGTTGATGACCAAACGAAGCTTGGAATCAAATCGTTGATTATAAAAATCTTAATATATTTTTCAACACCTACTTGTCTAGCAAAAATATTAATAATAAATAAAAAGAAGAATAAGAAGAAATAAATAAATTGAAACTAGTCAAAGCACAAGGATAAAGAAGAGGAAACAATTAAAAAGAAGAAGCTTCAGCAAGCCAGGCCGTTGGAATGCCCCCGTTCGTCGTTTCAGCGGCACGATCACCGCTACTATCCTTATCCTTAGGATTGATCGATTACACTAATTTCATTCCAAGGGTCAACATAGATCTATCCTCCTCACCTACTCTAGCTATCGTTGACAGAAAAATATTATTTTTGTCCCGAGAAATCGTGATTATCGGTAACGACGATCATCTTTTGAGATGACGAGCGGCCTGACCGCCGGAAAGCTAATGCCAGGGCGGTTAAAAACGCTCCACGATCACCACTACCACCATCACTACCATTAACTCTTTCACCTGGTTTTATAAACATAATTAAATCAAATTTACCGTCACTACCAGTAGTATTCCCTTTTCTTCTTCTATTTCTTGTATGGTGAAATTCATTAGAATCAAGTGGATCTCCAGCAACAAGGAGATGATCATCCAAAGAATGGACGATCTATAAAGATAATTAATTAATAATCACCCACCTAACATCGAGAAAGAGAGTAGTAGAGAGCAAAAATAAGAAGACAAGTTAAATCTTATCCCAAAGATATTATTGTTATTTCTTTTTTTCTGAAGTATCAATACATATATACATATAAAGATAAAGCAAGAGAGACAACAGAACCCAAGAGAAACCAGGATAAACGACTGCTTGACCCGATGATGATATTTTTTGTGTTCATATTTTGATAAATAGGAAACGATTCGCGACAGACAACGAAGGCCAAAGAAAACGATCGCGCCGGTAAAGACAAGGCCGGTGATATCCGGTTTGGGGCAAACATGCGTGAATCTGCGAACTATCGTTCGACTCAAACCGATCGGGACAGCTGCCACGAAAGCTAACGTTCGTTTCTTTTTTTTTTTTTTTTTACTATTTTTTATTTTATTTTATTTTGTTTTTTTTATACTTACTTTTTTTTTCTTTTTTAATAAAACGCATAAAACTTCGAGAAACAACAGACGTCGTCGTTGTCTTCTTTCTCTCTTCCTTCTCTTCTCAAGATTGTGATATATAAATATAAAAGTAACAATTAAATATATTTTTCGATAACATCTTCGTTTGCTACTCGAGTGCTAGAGGAAGAGGAAGACCCTAAACGAAATTGCACGAAATTTAAAAATAAATTATAATAGGACACTCTCTGAGATACTCGCGAAATGTCCAAGAGCTTCTCGAATTGGGACTTGAAGAGTTGTTGGACTGTTAGATCGTCGGGTAATCCTCGTGAAAGATCATCTTCAACGATATTGATTTTTGAACACGAGGTTACCATCAAAGGCGGTCCTTTAGGGATAGAGATCGTAGCCAAATTTATACACGGTCTTACTGATGGTCGTGCTAGAAGGAATCATCATCTTTTTCGAGGTGGATTGACAAGTCTTACTTTGAAAAGATGTCAAAACAATAACAAGAGGATAGCTGCTGCTACGGCTGCAAGCAAAGCGTCCAAGCTAATTTTTCGTCTGAAAGCACCACCTACCATGTAAGGAACAGAGAACTTATATTAGGGTGAATCAAAAGTTCGTACATTTTTTCAATTAATATTTCCAAAGTAAATTTAACATTACAATTCATTATACAGTTTATAACACAATTATAAGAATTTTTGATTCACTTTAATAAAGATTGCATTTCAACTATTTCCCAAGTCCAATCAAACTTTGACAATTGTTTAACTCTTTCTTAAGAACCGTTGTTTACGTTCAATTAGTTAACTGCATATCAACAAATGTCTTCTTTTTGTTGGAATCCTTGATGAACTAGTTTCCCTTTAATTGTTCCTAATAAAGTTGATTTGCTCGAAACATGATATTACAAATCTCTCTCTTTTTCTTTCTTTCTTTCATTATCGTTCGTTCTCGTTTATTATACTCTCGTTTATCATTCTAATTGAGAATCATATAGAGATATAGAGAGAAAAGTCATGTTGTAAGTTGTTCAGTATTATAAAAATTGTCTTTATACATTTTTCTAGATCACCACAAACTCGAGCAAGCGTAGGTGGAAATGCATCACCCATTAGAGCACCCTCGGCCCTATCAGTTTCCGCATTCGATGGTGTTGTCCCTTTGGTAGCAGCAACGGATGCTGCTAAAGAAAATGTTGGGACAACTGCACCGGCTCTTCCATCACCAGCCATCTTACCGGATCAATCTTGCATCGTTGAAAATGACAATGTTGTTGGTTTTTCTAGAAAAATTACTACCAATTCTCCGAAACAACAACTAGAATCTATGAAAATTGTAATTTTCCTTAAGTTTAATATCATTATTAATATTTATTGAAATTCTTTTTCCTTATATTATTGTCTCTATCATACAGGGAACATCTTATTTCACCGAATTGGCACCTGACGCTAACACTGCTCAAACCAGTGCGTGGCTTAGGGCAAGCAGATTCAACGCATTCGAATCAACCTTTGCTAATTTCTCAGCTTCCGATATTCTACGACTTTCAAGAGACGATTTAATACAAATTTGTGGTCTTGCCGATGGAATACGATTGTTCAATGCTTTACACTCGAAACCACCTACGCCAAAACTCACCCTTTATTTTTCTGTGGAGGGTAATGGTTTACTTTGGAGAGTCGCTTATCTCGATCATTTAACCAGCAACGCTTTGACGAACAAATTGATGAATACTTTGAGCCTACCTCAGGATCGTTTGCATTCCGTGCTTTTTCTCGGTCCTCAAGGAATTCATGTTTTGGTTACCGACGAATTGGTTGCCAATATGAAGGACGATAGCATGTATTTTGTGGAAACTATCAAAGGTAATTTATTTTCAATGTTCATGTGTTTTCAATCAAAATTTGTTTAGATATTTTAACTAAGTTTTTGATTTTTTTTCAATTCTTTTTATAGATACAACCAGTGATCGGTACAAATTACTCTTGAAATCATCGTCACGTTGACCATCACGTTGTTAGTATACTTATCGATCTTTCAAATTATTATAAGAAAGTGATCAAATGTGTGGGGACACATTATTTAATGCTTCGAGATTCCTCTTACTCTTCGTGCAATATATAGTTTATATATATATATATATATTTAGATATTTATTGTTGTAGAAAAAAAATGCGAAAAAGAGAAGAATAATTAGAGAACTTTATAATCGGCAAATTTAGATTCTACGGAAAAAATACGGCACAAGAGGGAATCGTCTATCTTTCTTTCTTTATTTTTTCTCTTAATAATCATATTAAATGTTGCAATTAATATTTCGGTGTCTTGATATGAAATTCGTTCCAACAAAACCGTCATTTTCTTTTTTTTCGTCAAAAAATTCAGCAGTTATCTAAAATACTATTATTATTAACTGACATTAGGAACTAGAAAGTTCATTGCCGCAAATACCAAATCCCGCTATTGTTCTCGTCCCTAAGCGCGATCCTTCCATTTGCGGTCTTCGTATCCTATTTCTTTCAGTTCTCTTCTAATATTATCCTCTCATCTATGTCTCGATTTTCCTAGTGGTCTTTTCCCGTTTGGTATACCGACCAATATTTTGTGCGCCGTTCGTCCTCCCCCATGCACGCCACGTGATCAGCCCACCTTAATCGGCGTGATTTTACGACGTTGATAATGTCCGGTTTGTTGTACAATCAATGTACTTCAACGTTATGGAGTTTTCTCCATTCGCCCGTTTCCTCATCGCGTTTTGCGCCGAAGATTTTACGAAGAACTTTGTTTTCGAAGACCCTGAATTTCTTTTCATCCCGTAACGTAAACGACCACGATTCGCTACCATAAAGGACTACCGGCAGGATGATTGTCCTCTATATCCTGATGTTTAGTCGCCTAGACAGCAACCGCTAGCTGAGTAATTTGTTAACCGAATAAAAACATGAGTTGCCTAGATTGATTCTTTTCTTAAGTTCTTCGTTAATTTCGTTCGTCTGGTTTATGATCGATCCTAAATACCTAAAGATCCGCTCAAAATGAATGAAGTTCCAGGTACTAGACCTATTCTGAACTCTATCGGTTACCATATATTTGGTTTGTTCCGCGCTTATTTGCAGTCCCAGATCTTTAGTATAATCTATTAATATTTTTGCGTTATTAATTAATGTCTCTTCATTGTCCCCTAACAAAGCAATATCATCCGCGTATGTCAACAATATAAATAACTGTTAAATTTGTTTTATTAAAAGACACACAGAATGAAAATTGCTGCATTTAATATATAAGCGCTAATTTTGTCGATGCGCATATCTTCCTAATTATGACAAATAATATCGATCGTCATTAGAATACAATTGAAAAGAAAAATTCTCATCTTACATTAATATACATCGATAAATAATATTTTTCATTAAAATCATGCGAATCTATCTTTTTTTTTTTTTTTTGACAATAATTAACGACAATACGAAGAAAAAAATTTGTTGTTGAGTCTTTCAAACGAATTTGCTTTTTATTATTTTTTTTTTTTTGCTATATTATATATATATATATATATAATTTATGTTGAGATTATTTAGAGAATAATGTGAATTTTGAAATATTATAGATGCCAGAAATTTACAAGATGGTCTCATAATAGAAAATAATGAGTTTTTTTTTTTTCGTACAAAAAAAAAAGTTTGTCATTATAATAGTTATTATTTATTATATCAGTTAACTACTATTATAAATTTAGTTAGAAACTGATTCTTTTTTAATAAACCATCAAATTCTAGATACCAATGAATAATATTAGCGTAATCAGCTACAACAAAAAATAACAATACGAAAATATTGATTTCAATTGAACGATTAACCCTTAAAGTGCACATGGGGCGTTTAACACCCCAACAAATTTTTGATCTCTCGAAAACGTTATTGAATTCGAAAAAATGGGTTATTTGTCTAGTGCCATCTAATGTTAATTCAGATGGGTATAAAACCTATTTTATTTTAAAAAAGATGTATCAAACTACTTTGAAAACAATTGCGAGGTCTAATTATTAAATAGCGGCTTTAGAAGACGCGTTCAAACACGTTGGGGTGTCAAACACCCACAGTGCACAAACTTTTACCAAGTGTGCACTTTAAGGGTTAAATTCGTGTTAATGTGCCTTAATGTTCTGCCAAGCATACAAATCTAAATGCTTCCAAGAAAAATGAATGATATAAAGTCATGTCAATTAATTTCAATTGTAACTATTTTCCGCAATTTTAGATACTTATAAAAATGTAACTTATGCAAATGTTATTCAGTCTTAGATACGTTTCATGGATAAAAAAAAAACAAAAAAAAAAAGAAAAAAAACTTGTCAAGTATTATATCTTTCTGTTATTTGTTATATTATAAGAGTTTATACAAACTATCATTGTTAATAAGATAACTAATTAGAAGCTTATGAGTATAATGATATATTATTGTTATATATTTACAGTGAGAAGCGTACCTGTGCGTTTAAATGGCATCTATTATATGCCATATTCATTCTTATCATGTATGACACAATAACTTTAATAATTTACATCGATATACGTACAAGTAAATATACCTAATAAGAAAGTAATGAGAGCGCGTATAAATATCTAATTGTTATTACATATAAATTGCGCTATTATAAATCAATTATTTTTTCACTATTGTATGTTAAGTGCCACGTAGAATTATTATTATTGATTATTACTAATTCTTACGATAATAGTACATACTTTACTAATGGTACACATATATATGTTATATTACAAAATCTTTGCAAAATGAAGTAACGAATTGGCATATAAAGATTACTAAAAAAAAAAAAGAAAAAAATACTAATAATAGTTAAAAATTTGTTTATATATATATATATATATAAAAAAAAGAAAACTCAAATTAAATATCTAATCAAACGAGTAACACACTGTGTACGCTCATAAATAATTGACACGTCGATTATAAAATTTATTGTGTGTTTACTTAGTCGCAATTTGCGTACAATCAGTCTGAATAAAGTGTAATAAAAAAAATATTTTTCAATGACAATTATATGGACACGAGACATTTTCATCATTTACCATGATGATAATACTCCTTTTTTTTTTTTTTTTTTTTTGGATAGAACAAAATCAAAAGATATATATTCATAAATATATTACTTTATTTAGAAAAAAAACAAAAAAAACATAATAATGACAATAAAATTTCAATTGACTTGATCATCATTTGACACGTTAAGACCAAATATGATCATTCGTAAAAAGTAAACGTACTCGTAACATTATATTTTTGTTTGTATATATAAATCATCATTTTGATTCGAATAGAAAGCAGAATTTTTGTACTCATTCATTCCAGTCGACTTGTTTAGTCATCAAATTCAAAGATTTGCCTATATGCTACTTTTTCTTCTTCGACTGTTTGTTCTTCTTTTTCTCTTCTTTTTTCTGCTCACGTTCCTTCAAGCATTTGAAGAGTTTATAGACGAAGAATACTGAAAATATATATTATATCGATTTGTTATCATCAAATAAATCACTATAGTTAGGAGTAATTTCATTATAAAACGAATGATTATATGACGCAAGTAGAATTATGGAAATATGTGGATAAAGAATAACGTGGAATTGGATTATTGCAAAATTGTGTTCGACATTCACCATACTTCTTATGTTTGCATATAATGAGTTGAGTCATTTTCGTCATCATTGGAGGGCTTGCGAAATTGCCGTACTTGTTAAAAAAAAAAAAAAAAAAAAAACAATGTAAAATGATGAGAGAGAATTGAATAAGTCAAAAAAGACTCGAAAGATTTGACAATGACGATGAAATATTTACCAAAAATAAGAGCCACGATGGCAAGCAATGACAACAAAATGAGAGTTTGACCGGTTAGATCGCGAGTAGCGGACATTTGTTGAAAATCCGCGCCACGACCTTCAATAGTCTTCATCAAATCTTCCCTTAAGTTGTTTTTTTCTTCCTCGGAAATGCCGGTCATTGAGTCAAGCATCTCTAACAGCTGTTGAGGACTAGGAAGTTTTCCTTCAGGAAAACCACCCTGATTTTCTTCCATATTGTCAATATTATCGGATACAACTTTATTATCAACAGCATAAGCGCTAACGAACATCTCAAGTCCGCTAATTATCAACATCCACATCCTAATTATTGAACATCAATTATTATTAATATACTCTAAAAAAAAACTCTTTCTTTTCTATTTAATTAAATAATCCTCCTATTAACAAATTGTTATTAACGTACCTGTAATTTGCTAAATGGTAAAGACTATACTACTACTCAGTTGAAAAAATAAACGACAATAAAGAGAACAACAGCTGCTTTTCAAGAAAGCAGCATGCGCTTAAAAAGATAGAACGATTATTACTGATTACTGATTACTGATATAAATGAGATCGGTAGCGCTTTAGTGGAAAGATATGCTCGATTCACAAAGACTTCTCGTCTTATGATTGGTAGAATCCTGATAACAAGGAGCCAACGTGGCTTCTAAACGACGACACGTCTGTCTTTCAACCTTGCACACGAACCAACTTGACCTTTTCTAAGGCTCCCATGAAGAAGAAGAGCTTCGTGAAGCTCTCTCTCTCTCTCTCTCTTTTTTATTGTAGATACATGTACGTGAGATAAAATAATATCGATAGACAGAAAAAAAAAAGATAGAGACATGGGAGAATCCCTTATCACGAGCTACTGAGCGACTCATCAAATTGACCTTTTTCCTCGATCCCGTCTGTATCGGTTGGTTATTTTTATAAACAAATCAAATAAAAACCTATTAAATCAATTTCATAATGTATATTGTAATAAAGAGATACGAGAAAACTGTTGATCATCCTATATAAAAATTGACTTTTGTTAAAAAAGATATTATGTGTTAGACATACACTTGGATGGCTAACATCTTTTCTATTTTACAGCTGTTCCAATTTTTCTTATCTATATATATTTTTTTTAAATATTTTATTACAAAAAAATTCAGAGTAATTTTTGTCCATCAAAATTCTTTCAAGAAAAATCGATAAAAACATATCAGAAATGAAATTTGATGATCTAAACGTATATTCCTACAAATTACTGAAGAGTACAACAGATCGAACGGATAAGAAGGCCGGTCATCGACACTTGCATTATGCATTTTGCATTATCTTTTAAGATAAAGACAATATTGAATTAAAATCGAAGATAGATAAAATATAGAACATTGTTTTGAGAAGAATGGAACACGTGTGACTCGTAAGAAGAGGCATATGTTGCTTTTCTAACATAATAAGGTTGAAAGGAGAGAATGAAATTTAAAAAAAAAAAAAACAGGGGGGTAAAAAGTATACAGGATATATAACGGTGTTTAAAAGTAACAATATTCTCACCAGATAATCCGACTATTATTATCCCTGGAATAACAAAGACGACGTTGTTAAAACCGTGTTGATACGGCGTGTCTGGTCCGCTTAATTCCACCATCCTTTTGCTTCCTTCTCCTTTCTCTTTTGAATAAATGAATCTTCAAGAAAATTTCATTGCACTCGCCGCGACGGTGCAAGGTAAGAACAGGTGTCACCGAAACGCCATCTTCAGAACGATTAAAGAATTAATCATGAACACGCGTCTCCTTTTAGGTTTTGGAACCCTTTTTATCCTTACTTCTTTTTTTATTTCGACACACTATATATGTTTATGTGTAATAAAGTATGATTCATAAAGACGTGTTCAATTAACCGATTGAGAAAAATAATAAAAACACAAGATGAGGTGGTAATCAACGTATTCCAAGTTCACAAACGCGAGTATCGATTTTTTGACATTTTTTACGATTGCGCATATTTTTGTATAAAACATTTACAATGTTCTATATTCTCTCTTTTTACAAACATTAAATTTTATTATTTATTAAGGATTATTATATAGATTAATAGATATTAAATATAATAATAATAATCTTTTTCTATATATCATATAAATACCGAATATATGTTATGTACTGTATATGAATGTTTATATTCCTTGACAGTGGTGTACCACTTTTACCAGTCGGTAAAATAAAGAATACTTATACCGCTAGATGGCGACAAATGTTTTACGAGTCGGTAAGATAAAGTCATAGTTATTACCGCTAGATAGCTGTACATATTTCACAGTCGGTAATAAAGTACAGATTTTTCAATATATTTTTGTTAAATGATTGAAAATTATATTTAAAATCTTCTAAATTGTTTTTTAAATCTCTCATAATGATAGTCATCGGTTGCCTTTTCACCATTATCTTTTCGCTTTCCTTTAAAATCTTCTTTAGGAGTTACAATTTTTTTTCTATCCTCATCATTATCCTGTCTCGATTTTTGAAAATCTGATTCTTCGATATTAACTGAATCATAATAAAGAAGAGAGTATAAATATATATTATTTTTTAAATAAAAAGATATGTTATCTGTCTATGTAAGGGAACTTACATCTGTTATGTTGTACAAAATTTACAGCCATGTTTGTTGGTACAAATTGTGATGGACCATCTTTTTTTCTATGCCTATCCCAAAGTAATTTCAATTTTGCCTCTTCAGTAGCTTCAATGTTACGAATTTTTGCTCTAAAGTATTAAATAAATTATATGAAATATATTATACTTAAATCAATAACCAATTATTAATTATAGAAAATAATAATTTACTCTATTCCAAGATCAACTTCTGGAATTCCAGAAAGCATTTGATTTGAAAGCATTTCTTCACTACGATGAGCTGAACTTTGTCTAAGATGTTCTGGTACAGCTTGTAATGCAGCTTCTTCTGGTGAACAATATGATCCTTTATCATTGCTTGCATTAGAATCTGTGTCATCTTTATTTTTACTTTTACGTTTCGATAATTGTTCTTCTATATATTTTACCCTAACAAAAATATTTACAAATAAACATTTATTAAATTATTATTCAATATTTTTTTTTTGTAGAGAATAAAATATATAGATATTTAAAAGAATTGTTACATTTCTTCATCTTCGTCTCTTTTATTAGTTTCAGCATTAAATTGTGTACCAATACCAGTTTCATATGCATCATTTTGTTTGAGTTTTATATTTTTCAAAGCAGACATATTTACCATTCCTCCAGTTTTGACGTTAAAAGGATCTGACTAATAATTAAGAGAATTGTTATAGAATAACATTAATTCTATTACAAATTAAATTAATAAATAATTCTATAAAATACTAACGTTCATTATATCAGTTTCTACTTTTTCTCCCAATGCTAGTCCAACAATATTTACACCACTTGGTCTTTCACGTAATTTTTGAATAATTTTAGTTTCTTCCACTTTCTCTCTGAAAAATGTATATACTACTTTATTTTTAAATATTTTAATAAATATTAACACTGATTTGATTTATATTATTAATATTTACAACTAACCTAACAGAACTTTCTTGATTTTCATTAGATTCATCATCTGTTGATGATTGTCGTTTTCTTATAGATTTGCGTATTTTCTTCTTAAATTCAATTTTTGTCGTAATTTCGTCTGTTTCAGACATGATTCCGAGTTTTTTTTATAATACTGATACTTAGACGATATTGTGATGAATTAGAATAAAACTGATAATATAGGTTAGGTCAAGCAATGTAGCAATTTAACCAAACAATTTTAAATGTTTCTAAATAATAATTTTATGTAGCTTAATAAATTAAAAAAAAACACATAAACTATAAAGAAACTAATTTGATTAATATACCAATTAATGTATTAAATTTGTATTATTTTCATGTGACACTCTATATTATCGACACTTCACCAAAAGTATATCAAAACAGCTGATATCAATATATGTATGTATATGATATATACATACATACATACAATAATAATATAAGTTTAATGTATATACATATATTGATATCAGCTGTTTTGATTTACTTTTGGTGAAGTGTCGATAATATAGAACACGGAGGATAAATACCAGGAGTCCGAACATAATATTGAAAGAACGGTATCAATTTAGGGGACAAGATATTTTGCTGGTAGGGCGCGCTGCTTTTCACAGAGTACTCATTTAAATACTTACGCGGGAAGTCTTGTTGCTATTGACAGCTCTGAAAAAAAATATTTTAAGAAACGTGGAATTAATATTATTTAAAAATTACACAAATGTAATAATCAATTATTTTTTAACATAAAATTTTTAATATTATCTTAAGGTTACTCACTTTTAGTGCTATGAATAAAGCGACTTTTCCTGAATTTTCACTTGCCTTTCGGCCACTAAGGCAACCATAAACAGCACAACACTTTCCCATTTTTTAATAAAAATAATTCTAAAAAAATAAATTAATATTTTATATTTAATTTAATTTATTTTTACATTCATGAGCCAGGTTAACCAGTCCGTATTTACGTGTAATAATAATAATAGTATCGGTCAGTGAAGCCAAATAGCGGAACATTTCTACCCCTTCTCTTGAGCCACGCACGCCTCGCATACAACAAAATTTACGTGTCGGTGTGTCGGAAAACCGAAAGAAGCCGAGGGAAATACATGAGCCAAACACATTTGAACAATGTGTAAAACAATGTGTATTATTTCTCCACGGCGCGTGGTGGGGGTATTATTTCTCCTCTGTCGCGCAGCTATCTCGGCTTCCCTCGGCTTTTTTCGGTTTTCCGACACACCGCACGTAAATTTTATTGTCTGCGAGACGTACTGGGCTCAAGAGAAGGGGTAGAAATGTTCCGCGATCTGGCTTCACTGGTATCGGTACGTTCTGAATATTTGCGCAGCCAGTGGCAAAAAAGAGAACTATGATCTGGGTCAAGAATTGAGTACCACAAATAATGTGAAAAGTGAAAAATCCTATACCATTCGGACTCTTGGTATCTATCCTCCATATCCCCGTGATATAGAATGTCACATGAAAATAATACAAGTTTAACACTTAAAGTGCACACTTGGTAAAAGTTAGTTAAAGTGCACTGTGGGTGTTTGACACCCCAACGTGTTTGAACGCGTCACCTGAAGCCGCTATTTAATATTTAGACCTTGCAATTTTTTTCAAAGTAGTTTAATACATCTTTTTAAAAATAGAATAGGTTTTATACCCATCTGAATTAACACTAGATGGCACTAGACAAATAACCCATTTTTTCAAATTCAGTACCATTTTCGAGAGATCAAAAATTTGTTGGGGTGTCAAACAGTCCATGTGCACTTTAAGGGTTAATAAATTAATTGATATATTAATCAAATTAGTTTCTTTATAATTTATCTATTTTTTTTTTTTTTAATTTTATAAGTCACAAATTTCTAATTAAATTTATTAAATTTTCTGAATTTTCACATATTATGTTGATCTTTATTTCTATTGTTAAAATAAAAGTTTAAAAATGTATTAAAAATGTATGTATCTATAAAAAAAAGATGGTAAAAACTAATGGCAATTTATTATTGCAAATAATATCTCAGATGATGAATAAAAAAAAATATTAATAAAAATATAATTTATCGGTGTTTAGTATTGGGAAGAGAAATCACTTTTACATAGACACAGATTTATAATTCAAAACAATTCTTTATCTTCTTCGATACATCAAAGAAGATTGAATAATCATGATTCATCAGTAAGATTACAAACAAAATATAATTAGCCTGGAATTAAAGTGTACAAAAATTGATAATAGGATAAAGTATTATAATTACAACAATTTTTTTTTGCGTTATAATACACCTAACGACTAAAGCAACTGGCACGTCATTGAATGTGAGAAAATAAAAATAAAAAAAGAAACTGAAAGACTGAGAAAAAGAAAAAAAAATGGAATATATATATATATATATATATATATATATATATATATATATAGAGTGCCGTATTGCAATTTAATTTATCATAAATTAACATTTATTCGTCTCAGCTCAGCTATCTCAGCGTCAATAATACGAACTTGATGTTCTATTTACAATCTACCATCTGCGCTTCTCTTTTCAAATAATAACGATAAATATAGTAATAATGTTTCGAATTTTTGTTTTTTTTTTCGAAATATTTGTTTCCCCCCTATTTCTTGGTTTTTTTTTTTTCTTCTTCTTACTTTCACCTCATTGACATTTTTATAAGTGTGCTGAAAAATCGGTATAAATATAACCTACGAAGGAGTAGTAATATCGCAATAGTCATTGTAACTTAGATCAAATTTGGAAGAACTGTATCTCGCTTTACTTTTTATTCTAATTCCTTATTCTACTATTGCCAACGGTTTTTTAAAGTTGGTATATTTCTATATACAATTTTAAAAGTTCAATCTGAAATAAGAAATGCCAATAAATTGTACAAACGGTAAATATATAAATTAAATTAAAAAAAAAAAATGTTTCCTCTATGATTTTTTTTTCAAAGCACCACTATCGATACAATTAACGATAGTTATCTGCGCGGCTAAAAATAAATGAAATTTTACTTTAAATCTACATTATTATTATTATTATTATTATTATTTTCATTCTTTGATCGTTATTATTTTTATTTTACTTTATATTACCGTCAACAACCTATTGCCTGCTGACATTTTATAATATTAATATTAATTACTTATAACTAGATCACTACCGTCGATATTATCAACGATAAGTTCTGAATAACCTTGCTCTTTCGTATAATGATGGTAGCTGCAACAGTCGATATACAATGATATTCTATAATTTTATTATAATTCCTATTAATTTACTCTCTCTATCATCGTTTTATATTAGTAGCAACAAATTTAATATCAATAATGACTTTAAATATATCAAATACTCTCGATTGTTTCAACGACCAACAAAAGACCCGAAAGTAGCATAAAATTTACACAAGCGTGCTGCTACAGATCTTCCAAAATTTGTCTAAGATGATAATTATTTTGTAATATTTTTGCTAATCAGTAACCGCCAACCTCATATCGAGTATGAGATGATCCGGAGACACAGTGTGGCGGCTTATATATCTTTTTTATTATTATTATTTTTTTTTTTGATTGGTATCAATCTAAATCTAGTATTTGGACGAAGTGCGAGGATGGGTCGTGCGTGCTTTTTGCTTTCTAAATTGAGCGTGCAAATCGCTTAAAATCTTTTATCCTTTCTTTTAGCCCACAGATAGCTTACTTTCTTGTTTCCTTGGCCAGTTACAATGTATAATTTATCATTGCTTTTTTTTTTAATTCAATATGTATATAAGTTCTTAAAAAAATTATCGCAGTTGGACGTGAAAAAAAGAAAAGGAAAATTTATGAGTAGCCCTGAGAGAGAGAAAAAGATAGAAAAAGAGAGAGAGAGAGAGAGAGAGAGAAAGAAAGAATGAGAAAGAGAAAGAGAAAGAAAGAAAGAAAGAAAGAAAGAGAGAGAGCGAACAACGCGCCTATGAATAGTGCATGGGTGGATAGTCATGGCATATATGCCAATAGTTTAACGCATGTATAAACGAGAACGAATGTCTTCACTGACGTGTGAACATTATTTGTCATTTGCCTTTCATTTATATTAAACCTCAAGTTTTAAGAGATGTGAGACGCGAGTCTGTGCACCCATGCCTCGAATTTGTATATAAGTGGCAACCTTCAACGCTGAATATTGACACTTCTGTAAAAAAGAAAAAAAGAAGACAAATTGTAGAGTGATAGAATAAAATGAATGTTTTATTAAATGGTTAAAAAAAACTAAAAGATCTTACCGTCAGGCAATTCATATAATTTTCTAGGAAGAGAGGCAAAATAAGGATGTCTTAAAGCTTCTTCGGCACCTATGCGTTGATCAGGATTCAATTGTAGGAGAGATGATGCCATGTTATCACCGTCGGTAATATCATAAAGCCTTGGAAATGTAAGACCCAATTTTCTTGATGGATAAAATGACAATTGGTTTGGTTTATATCCTGGGAGATGAGTTACACCTGGCCAAGTTTCTTCGGTAGGTGTGCCCAAAACTTTAAATATTTTATCAAGTTGGTCGTACGTACACCGTACACCAGGGAATGTTGGTTCTCCAGTCAACATCTCTACGAATATGCAACCTACTCCCCACATATCAAGTGAGGTTGAATATTCCGTAGAACCCAATAGAACATCGGGTGGCCTATACCATAATGTCACTACCTCATGCGAATATGTGTGCGATGGTACAGATTTCGCCCTAGCAAGACCAAAATCTGCTAATTTAAGTTCTCCTATTTCACTGATTAATAAATTTTGAGGTTTCACATCTCTATGCAACACTCTCCTAAAAAAAAAAAAAAAGAGAATTAAATATATTTATATAAAGTTATTAAAAGTGTCTGTAAATAATAACAAAGAAGAAAAATCTAGAAAATGTTTTTACCTACGATGACAGTATGCGAGTCCTCTTAACAATTGAAAAAGAAATAACTTAACATTGCGAGGATCCAGACCTCCATTACCATATCTGTCCATGTATTGTGATAGATCAGTGTGAACATATTCAAAAACAAAAGTAAGAGTCTCGCGAGTGTGAATTATGTCGTGTAAAGTCACAATGTTACTATGCTTTAATTCCTTAAGAAGGCTTGCCTCACGAATGGCAGTAAACGGAGCACCTTCTTCTTCTTGCAGTCTAATTTCTTTAAGAGCCACCACCTGATTCGTGAGGTGACTATAGCCTTTGAACACAGTGGCATAAGATCCTTCTCCTAACTGTTCTAATTTTATATAAGCTTCGGATTTTCCAAAAGGAGAGTCTCCCTGTTTAAGGATAAATCAATATCTTATTTAAATATTTACAAATTTATATTAATGTAAGATAATATTAATAGAAATATTCATTTACCCCAAATGCTGAAAACCTTTTGGTTCTCCGAGGTGGTGGATCTGGCCCAAGAAAAACTTCAGACTTGGGCCGTGGTGGACGCCGAGGCCGTAAAATCACTCTTGCCTCCTCTCTTATATCTTCATCTAAAAGCTTGGAATCGCTAGAAACTGAAAGCTGTCGATGCACTCTTTCATGGTCACCAACACCTGTCCATTCTATAACATTTAATTTCATTCTTAACATTTTTTTTTTTTTTTAAGGCTTACATAATACAATTGTCATTACAAAGTAAACATAAATAGTATCAAAAGTATTTAACGATATATATTTAAACCTCACCATATCGTCGATCTTTATCCGCAGGTATATTGCCGTTTGGTTCCAAACGGTCTAGGAACTCCTCCGAATAACCATTGTAAGGCAGCTGACCTCTATTCGCAGCATCGTCAGCTTCTTCTTTAGAAATAGCTAAAATAAAAAAAAGAAAATACATTGATATATAATAAGTCTTAATTAATATATATATATATGTTTTGTATGAACTATTTTTAATGAAAAGAATTGAAGATTGCAATTCATCGGTTCTAATTCCTTTAATCAATATCAAGAAAAAGGAACTACATATCTCATGACAAATACGAGTACGGATTTATTAATCTTTACAAGTCTGTATAAACAGCAATAAACTTTGATAACAAAGCGTTACATAATTTAATGATGTTTATAAGTCGTTACTAAGACTAGTTTTTCATATTACTCTAATATGATTAATTATAAAGTGATTGTATGAATAATAAATAATATTTCATCACTTATGAAGATATTATTGAAATAAAAATAAAATTGATATAATTTTGACAATTAATATAATAGGCATACTTACAAAGTCTACCGAAACTGTGACTAAGTCGTTTTTTTAATTTCTGCACTCTGCTAAGAGCACCTCCTTTTTTTTCTCGCATTGTCACTGACCCTGTGCAAGTAATAAACACAACATATATATATAATCTTTTACAACGTATAAGGTTGTTAAACCTAAAACTTAATATTTTTATTTTTTTTTTATAAATCTCAAATATTACATTTTATATATCAAAGAAAATAGTGTCACAAAGTAAGATGATATAACTTGATTAAGAGATTTCATGTAAATTATGTAATTATACGTGCAAATGCAAAAACATTGTTTTTACATGTACATGGCATATGGCATATAGAACATAGATGCATTTAATGACAATAGTCTTTCAATAGTAACACTTAATTATTAGAACAAAAGAAGTATTGTTGTAAAAGAAAGTGGTTTTAAGAGTTAGGAAAAGTGCGAGAAGAGCAAACTCAGTGACATTCTTTGTACCATTATAATTCATGATTGTTAATTGTTATTGAAGAATCATAATAAAATAGATATGTATAAGGAAAATGATAGGAGGATAAGAAAAAGGATCTCCTAAATAATTGTACTATTCGATAAGTTTACAGATCAATCATGTTAATGTAATTCATACCTATGCCAGTGATCTTGTACTTCTTTAAACTTTTGAAACCACGCATATCTCAGCAGTAGCAATAACAATAACAACAACAATTGTGATCGAAAAATAAGCACAATTAGGGATAAATTAATGGATAGACTACTTTGTTAAAAATATTTGTCCCATTTACACGGAAGTATATACGTTTGAACTAGTTTGGTGACGTTAAAGGTGACTACCACAGCAGAGACTAGGACGTTCTTCACGACCGATAGAATCGTATGCACAATGAAAGATAGATAACGCGGTTTGCCAAGAACGCATACAATCGGTATTTCTCTCCTCGAAATACATAATCCTGGATACCCCTACCGACACGTTCTTGGTTTCTTTGTCCCGCTCCTTCTGGTTCTTCTCGTACCATCCTCTTCGACCAAAATCATCATCCACCACCACCACCATCACCACCACCATCACCACCACCCCCCACGATCGTGGATTCTCTCTCTGAGTTGTCCGACCCACCTTCTTATCGTGCTTCGTTTTTTCCACATGCGCGCACGGAGGAACCGAAATCCGATAAGACAAGATGCAAAGAATAAAAGGATGATGATGATAGAAAGAACAAAAAGAAATATACAAAATTAGGTTAAATTAATAGGAATAAGAGTAGTAGACATTTCTTATTTTTGTTGTCTTTTTTTTTTCAAATACAACGAACAAAATGATAAATAGATGGAATGATAGAATAGGATAAGAAAAATGTCATTTAATCGCGCGTTGTCGTCTAAACTAACTAACAGGAGGAAATAATAAAATGACTCGGCGGGCGTCGACTTACCCTCTTTGCTCTTTGAGGCGGTCGAGCCCTTGTCTTGACAGTACATGATTACTCATTCGTTCGTACGCACGAAACACACATCGCATATGGGCGGTGACGCACTCTGTGTGTGTGTGTCGTGTTATATATTCTCTTCAGCGTGTATCGCGTTGTCTTCGTCTTTTTCGTAGTCGTCTCGTCGTCGTTGTCGTCGTCGTCGTCGTCTTCGTCGTCGTGGTCGTCGTCCTCGTGTTTTTTACTTTCAAACACGGGTGTCAGGTCACAGGTCACCACCAATCGCGTAAAGAAAGCGTAATACTTTTGTTCACCTTTGTCGTGGCTCATACCACGGTGGCGAAGCACGACGTATCCTTCTCTTACCACTGACGATCGCCATGAAAAAGGTTTGCCCCCTAATCTTCGTCCGTTCGGAGAATAGCAATGTAACAACAGTAGTAATAGAATAATAGTAATAGAAACAGCGTTAACAGCAGTAATAGCGAAGATAGTAGCAATGGTTACGGTGGCAGAGGCGACAACGAGACGACGCGTGCTTTCCTTGCCTTATTTTATCGTTGATTCAACTTTCTCCCAGAAAGTTACAAAGTTGGAACTTGACCGGGATCGCCGAACTTCCAAGCGACCGACCACCCTGTTCGTTTCGTTCTCTCTCTCTCTCTCTTTCTCTCTCTCTCTCTCTCTCTCTCTCTCTGCGTCTGTCTATTTTTTTTTCTTTTTTCCTCTTTTTTTCTCTTTTTATCTCGTCTCTGTCGCACGCGCGTCTTCCTGAATACAGTGAGTGTTCGCGCACGCCACCACTGCTGACTATCTCGGACAATTCATTTGATCAACGTCGTTCCTAAAGACGATTAAATCGTCTTATGAATGATGTTTTTTTACGCACACACTAGATTCCGAGAGTTAAAGAATTTACCGCAATTACGGTTTACGCACGTTGCACTCAGAGCAGTCGCTCTTATGCACTTTATCGCTCCTAAGCCGCCATCTTGAATAAAATGCACTGCCGATAACTTGCAAGAACTCGCGATGCGTCAAATCCTTTTAGCGTGAATGTAAGTTTTTTTTTTTCTTTTTCTTTCTTTTCATTTTTCATATTGTCACTCGTATTTTCAAGGTTTTAAACATTCTTTAGAAACTATAATACGATTCTTTTAAATTTTTTTAAAATTATCATTGTATTTAGAATTTGATCGATCTTGTAAGGTTAGGATCTTAATATTAACTTAAATATCATAATATTTTATAATTGTTTATATAAAGTTTATCGAATTCTTTACATTTTTTATTTTTTATATGTATATATAATTTCATTAAAATACAATAATTTTTTTTTTTTAAATTATTTTATATTTATTGGTATGTTGACGCCGATACTATTGCCATCTACCGTGAAACGATAAAAAATCCGATCGGTATTTAACTTTAATCTCTCTTTTAACCACAAGATGGTGCCACAGATACATTTTTAGAGAAGAATTGTAATTTTCGTATAACGGGATTTATCAATTCTAAATAAAACCATACAAAAATATGAACAAAGAAACCATCCAATTACAGAAATTACGCATCATCATTTTTTCATTTCCCATCATTTCTTATAATTAGATGAGACTAAAGTTTATATTAATACTGTAATTAGTGAAAGAGTACAGTTTCGATTTATCGAATACACAGATCATTTTTCAACTAAAGAAGAAGTTTGTGTAAAAAAAAAAAAAATCGCATACACAGCAATAATATACATATTGATTCTAATAAGGAATGATGCTTTGGTAGGTAATATCTGTCATTTCAAACGTTGCACATATTCCCGCGAAAATTCACTGTCTCTCTCTTATTGGTCCATTAGTTTATTCGCAATGCGTAATAGAGCCATCTACCGGTGCTTTTGGAATCAGATAAGATTGACGACCCTGAGATTTGGAGCACCCGTTTCGTTTCCGAATATATACGAGACTGCAAACAAGGCGTTTTCAGGTTACTGCGCATGCGGGAAAAATTCCATGAGTCGGCAAAAAGAGAAAGGTAGTGGTGGTTTCTTGCAGCTGGAATTACTGAACAATTTGTGGAATAGTAACAGTGTTAAACAGTGTCAAAATTATTCCACCACTATTGAAACAAGGGATCAAAAGATGACGGGCATCACAGAAAAACCATTTCGTCGACTTCCCAAGGATGTTAAACCTTGTCACTATGACATTACGTTGGAGCCGGACATAGCAAATTTTGTTTTCAAGGGAATAGAAAAAGTGCATATTGAAGTAAGTTATTGTAATGCAAATCGCTTACGGTAACTACTACTTTCTATCTAGGTGGACCTTTAAATGTTTTTAAACGAAAGTAAATAGAGAATGTCTGGCAACCATATGGCGTACATAACCGCAATTTGTATACAAAGCTTTAGATTAGCTTAGGTAAAACTATGTTAAGTTCAATTGAAATAACTGGCATCATTATGTTTATCATCATTTATAAACAGAGTTAATTGCTTAGAGATAAGAGAATATAATAAATCGTACACAATGTCTTGTATTAAGATTGCTTTGTTATTTATTGTGATGACTTATGAGTGAAGGTTTTAAAATTCATAGATTTTTATCAGTAGAAATATCTATTAAAATTCTATTTAATTAATTCAAATATTTATACTCGATTTTAATTTTCTTTTTTTATTTATATAGGTACTCGAACCTACTGACACAATTGTTTTAAATTCATTGGAAATCAATATTGAAAAAGCATATTATGTTAATAATGATGGATCTACTGTTTCTGCAAAAAGTATTAATACATCTCCATCCGAAGAAACAGCTATTTTAGTATTTGACGATAAATTTCCCGTTGGTAAAGATGTGATTCTTACTTTGGAATTTAATGGAGAGATCAATGACAAGATGAAAGGTTTTTATCGCAGTAAATACAGAAGGTAATATACTTATAGATAGATTAAATCCTTAAAAGTAATAATACTTTTTTTTCTTTCTACGTTTATTACATAAATTTGTATATTTTTGAAGGGCTGATGGTTCGGTCGCTTATGCAGCGGTTACGCAGTTTGAACCCACAGATGCTAGGCGTTGTTTTCCATGCTGGGATGAACCTGCTCTTAAAGCTACATTTGATATTACTTTAAAAATACCAGTTGGTGTTATTGCACTGTCAAATATGGTAATTGAAATTCCTTAAGAAAATGTATTTTTTTGTTCTTTTTAATTATCTTCGACTTATCTCATATTTTTATTTGACAGACTATCAAAGAAAGAAGTGTTTCCGAATCGGTTGAAACATTGTCGTTTGAAAGAACTCCGCGTATGTCTACTTATCTGGTCGCCGTAGTAATAGGAGAGTTTGATTGCATAGAAGACAAATCAAGCGATGGTGTACTTGTACGAGTTTATACCCCAAAAACTAAACAAGAGCAAGGCCAATTTGCATTAGAAGTAGCAACGAAGGTGTTGCCTTATTATAAGACATATTTTGGTATAGCGTATCCGCTTCCAAAAATCGATCTTATTGCAATTAAGGACTTTTCATCAGGTGCCATGGAAAATTGGGGTTTAGTTACGTATCGTGAAGCTTGTCTCTTGGTAGATCCGCAGAACACATCTGCTGTTAGGAAACAGTGGATCGCTTTAGTCGTAGCACACGAATTAGCTCATCAATGGTTTGGAAATCTCGTCACTATGGAATGGTGGACGCATTTATGGTTAAACGAAGGATACGCTTCGTTCGTAGAATTCCTTTGCGTTGCACATCTTTTCCCCGAATACGATATTTGGACGCAATTTGTAACAGATACGCATATCAGAGCATTGGAATTGGATGCATTGAAGAACAGCCATCCTATTGAAGTGTTAGTCGAGCATCCAGCCGAAATAGATGAAATTTTCGATGATATATCTTATTATAAAGGCGCGTGTGTTATCAGAATGCTGCACTCTTATATCGGTGATGATGATTTCAGAAAGGGGATGAATTTGTACTTAAATAGGCATAGTTATGCTAACGCAGAAACGGAAGATCTTTGGGCTGCCTTGGAAGAGGCTAGCAATAAAAGTGTTCGAAGTGTTATGTCTACGTGGACCAAACAACAAGGCTTTCCTATTGTTAAAGTTGATTGTCGACAAGAAGGTAACAATAGAATTTTATCTCTCTCTCAAGAAAGATTTTTAGCAGACGGATCTGTGGATATGGATAATCAATTGTGGATTGTACCAATAAGTGTAAGCACTTCGAAGAATCCAAAAGAAACTGTTCTTACTGCATTATTGGATGAAAAAACGAAAGAATTTGTACTTAAAGACGTACCTGAAGGTACTTGGATAAAAATTAATCCTGGAACGATTGGATTTTACAGAACGCGTTATAATCCAGAAGCGATGTCTCTATTTTTACCTGCCATTAAAGATCGCTCGTTACCACCATTAGACAGATTAGGTCTTTTGGATGATCTTTTTGCTATGGTGCAAGCTGGACATGCCTCGACCGTAGAATTACTTAGATTCATGCAAGCGTTCCAACACGAGGACAATTATACAGTATGGTCCAGTATAGTGAATTGCATAGGAAAGATTTCTGTACTTTTAGCACCTCTCGATATTGCGGATACATTTAAAGCATTCGTGCGAAATCTAATGCGTGACATTAGCAAACGATTAGGATGGTATCCAAAGCCTAATGAAAGTCATTTAGATACACTCCTGAGATCTCTCATATTGGATCGTATGGCGGCAGCTAACGACGAGGAAACCATACGAGAAGCTAAGAAGAGATTTGCACTTCACGTGTCTGGGGCCGTGCCACTTTCTGCAGATTTGAGAAGTTCCGTTTATCGTGCTGTCCTCTCTGTAGGTGATTACATTACTTACGATACTATGCTTAATCTCTACGAAGAATCAGATCTCAACGAAGAAAAAGAAAGAATATTGAAAGCACTTGGCGCAATCAGATATGAAAATTTATTAAAGAAAACTATTGAATTCTCAATGAGTGAGAAAGTAAAAGCACAAGATACCGTTTTTGGCTTCATGTCTGTTACAATGTCGCAATATAAAGGTCGTGTAATTGCTTGGGAATTCTTCAAGGAACATTGGAAAACTCTTCTCGATCGTTACGAGGGTGGTTTCTTACTTGCAAGGCTAATCAAGGTAACGACTGAAAATTTTGTTTCCGAAGAATTTGCCAAAGATGTGGAAAACTTCTTTGAAAATCATCCGATACCTGGAACAGAGAGAACAGTACAGCAAAGCATAGAATCTATCAGATTGCATGCGGCGTGGCTTGCTAGAGATGAAGATTCTATAAAAGAGTTTTTGAATTCTGTAGTTGTTCATGATTGAATTTATGAACAGAAGAAGAGAGAGAGAGAGAGAGAGAGAGAGAGAGAGAGAATCGATAAAATCGTACCTTTTTTTAAGAGTTAAGCAATTATTTAAATTAATTAAATAAAAAACGTTTTTTAGTAACGTTTCAGATTAACAAGCATAAGATCACGATGATCTATTGTTTGTTCGTACCATAGTTCGTCATTAGAAGGAAATCATTATTTTAAATAAGAATCATCATCGTTCGTTTAGTTTAGGGGAAGTTTGTATTGATAATAGCATTTAAACAAAAGTCGTCTCCTCGTCATTTGTTCATTAATCGTGTGTTTTATTTAGAAAAAAAAAAAAAAAAAGAAACAAAAAACCATACTCGTACTTACAAATAATTCACAGAGAATACGCCCGCGAGTCTGTAATAATTGTGTGCTACTTTTATGTTATACGCGTATTCGTAACATTATATCAAAGAGAAATGTAACGTTACCGTTCCCCAAAAACACAACTGCATTTTCGAGATAAGTATCTATTGACTCTATGAGAGAAAATTGAAATAAAAAAAAAAAACTTATACGCTTATAAGTAAAACAAAAAAAAGGGGGGGGGGAAAGAAACAACAAGAGAAAAAGAAAGAAAAGAAATCTGTGAATGAAACCTCTTATAAAATTGAAAATTCTTTTCAATATCAATTGAATGCATTGAAAGAAAAAAAAAAAAAGTTTAAAAAAATACAATTAACGATGTTTCTACATTTAAGTTTTCCTCCTATCATTTTCCAACGTATCTTTGATCCCCCACGCCCCCCTTTCCCCCTGCCCCCCTAACAAAAAGTTGCATAATCTTGGATATCGTTACGCTCGAATTAGAAGATTTGCCGAGCAGAAGGCAATTCTGTTTCCTTATCACGGACCATTAAGGGTGAGTGTCTCGTAGGACGCGCTTCGCACCCCCTAGCTTTCTTCTTATCCGCAATCGATCGATCCTCCGGCGGCATATCCACTGGAGGGTGGCTGGTCGGGGTCTCCTCTTTCTCTTTCTCTCTTTTTCCATCGTTGTGAGTCAGCCTCCATTTCCATTATTAGTGCACATCCACCAGCAGGCGATGGGCGAGTAGTAGTCTCCCGTCGTCACCCTTTGCCATACTGCGTCTCGCTCATGAATGCGAAGTGGGCTCGAATGGATGATGTCGAAGGGAGTTGTTGTAGATGTTGAGGAGGAGCCAAAAGCGGACAGGGGTAGTTGCTTGCTTGCTTGCTTGCTTGGGATCGGTTCCCGTGGGTATCGTACGAAGCCACGGTTCCCAGGAACGCGCACGCGACCCGGACAGGATAGGGACCCGATCAATACACGGACTTTACGAACTCCTACACCCTGTCGGAATACAATACGACATTTGCCGCTCCCCTTTCGTGCAACATCTTTCAAGGACTAGGACTAGGACGAGGACATCGACGACAGTCAACTGTTCCTCCTCCTCCTCCTCCTCCTTACCTTTCTCGCACGTGTGCGTAATAATCCATGCACACGTGCGCCTATTTAATTCCATCCTACCCTTCCTACAACCACCCAATCCCCACGGATTTACTGCTTTTAGCGATGCAGGAAATGAGGAAACGCCGCTCCCACGAATCACCACCAACAACAACAATAACAACAATCTTATGGAGTTGTCCTATGATAATGGTATGGAAAAATAGTGTTCAAAGAAAAATTTACGTATGTACTTTTTTTTTTTTTCATAATTTCCATGATTGAATTTAATTCTTTCAAATGTTAGTTTGTTGATAAGAAATGAAGGATACAATCTATATGCATATTTTTGAATTATAAGTTTCAGTAATTATTTTGATTTTTGTTTTCAAAGATTTAATTAAAAATATATATTAAAAATGTATGAATAGGTTGTGCAAGGAAATAAGTGACACAGGTATAACTTACGGACACAGTTTGCATTTATTTTGTATACACGAGCGTAGTACCTTCGTGCGACGATATACTTACAGCCTTTCAGTCTTCGCAAATATACAATAGTTACGGAAGGTCTCTAAATTATAATATGAAGACCGATAACAGTAATAATAATATAATCATATAATAATAATATAGCATTTTTAAGGTACAATAAATGTAATAATAGTAATAAAAATTGTCTTTATTATCTACAGTGTGAGTTAGAAATGATACAGACTTTGATCAACGCGATGATAAATTTACGATCGGTTGGGTGGGGCCATGGTACGTGATATTATCGTTAAAATGATGATATTTTGAATATATTAATATGACATGTGTATATATATATATATATATTTATTTTGTTCATAATTTTGCTTGGACCTTTCAACCAATCGTAATTGTAAAGAAGAAATTGTTAACGAAAGAGTTTTGTTAAACATTTTCACGATAGAAAGCAAACAAAAAAAAAGGGAAATAATTGTAGGTACAAAAAAAAATCAAATTATCATTTGAAAGTTGAGAAAAAGGGTGGGATTAAAGGATAAAAAGAGAAAGAGAGAGTCGAAGATTAGAGGCGATGGTGTGATTGGTGTTTATCGGCGATGAGAGGTCGTGCGAGGAATGCGATGAGAGAGAGTCTATGTACAAATAAGTATTTACAGGCTTTCGCGAGGAAAGAGATTGTACTGGGCGCAAGGGTTTGCTCGTCGTTCTGTTCCTAGTTTCCCTGGTTATCGTTTAACGTATCCTTCCATTTTTGTCAAGCCTCGAAGAATTAATAAAAGGAAGGAATTCTTCGAGGTGGAGTAGGAGGATGAGGATGAGGATGAAAAAGGACGGACGGACGGAACCCTGCGTTCAAGCTGGAGTCAGCCCACGAGGACGATCTCTCCTAGCGATCTGGCCCTCATTCAAGTTGTTTTCCTGTGACAGGTCACCGTTCAGCCACTGTGTTATTTGTCGTCATCGTTGTCGCTGATGATGTTACTGCTGTTGCTGCTGCCGCCGGTGTCGTCGAGCCTGTACTGCCAACGCTGCTCACCTTGTTTAGCAAAGGTTGAAGCGGTTGTCTCGTTATAGGCGTGATTTTCGTCTTTATTGTTTCCTGATGGACATTCTCTTCCAAGGTAGTTTGTAAATCGCATATATATTCTATCACCCTTTGTATTACTTCGAGTTTAGAAAGTTTCCTCTTTCTCGGCATATCCGGTACCAATGATTTTAGCTTTGTTAGATAAGCGGCAACTTCTTCAGCTTCTAAGTCTCTCCTCGTTCCGTTTAAATTCAAACCGTTGTGTAAAACACCACGATTCGGTGGTACTCGACCACCTACAGGGCTTACCACCATAGCCTTCATATTTTTTCTTTTATATTGTCTTTCGATAAATGACTTGTTTTTTTTTTTTTTATACCAAATTCCTTTGCGATTCGTCTGTAGAGATATTGGGTAACTGTGGTCGGCGCACTCACACGTTCCCGGCGAATTATCGATCGAATACCAAGTCTCTTCGAGAGAAAGAGAGAAAGAACGCGCAACGATCCAAAAAGGAAAGCAGATATACTTTTTTTTTTTGGTTTCTTTCCTCTTCAAGATATTCGTTGAAGATGTTGCTGGTGATTGATCAATTATTTCCTCTTCTAATTATCTCCTTGGTATATTATACTTGTTCCTTGTCGTTGAAAAATCCTTTGATGAGTTGAACTCGCGGTGTGCCTGTCACGTACACAGACTTATACGAGAAAACTAGCTTCACACACGAGAATTATCCATTTGTTACAATAAGATAAAAAGATTTTATGGAAAAATGTTATAAGAATAACTATTTGATTCTAAATGCAATATATGTATGATGTGCATATAACAGCCAAAGACCCAGAGCAGACAGTGTGTTATGCACAGTCTGCATTCAGTGGATCGAAGTCAACTGGCCTCTGCCCCTCACCTGCGCTGTTTTATAGTATACCCCCACCCTACCTTTTCTCTATCCAAGACGCCTCCACCACTCGCACAGCGCAATCGCTGCACGAGTGGTCTAGCGTTGGGTCTGATTCGTGCGTGTCAACTATCGCTTTTTTTTCCTATTGACCTATTTTCTACCTTTGCCCTTAACTCTTTCATCATTTTATTGCATGAACTAACAATAACGGTGACATTATACTCAAATTACGCTGAACTATTTACTAAAACATTGAAATATAATGCAAGGAATACGTTTTAATTTATTGCAATGATATTATTGTTAAAATTATATACAAATGTTATAATATCTTTTTATAATGAATATATTTCATATCTCTGTAGGGTTTAATTAATTGCTATTAAATGTTAGCAATAATTATTATATGGATATGTCAGTTGTTTGAATCAATGGCGATTCAAAACCATCGCTAGTCGGGGGTGTTCGATGACCATGGGAGCATTGGCGTTGGTGGGACAAGACGGGAGACCCGAGGAGGGGCACGACCATTGTTGAACGTCCGGCGGCGCCAGTCACTAGCCATCACGACTACACCACCACCACTACGACACCATTACCACCACCATATTACCACCACCATCATCGTCGTCGAGGTTTGTTTAGCGTACACACTATGTGTAGTAGTTACTGTCCTCCTCCCTTGATCTCTACCACCACCACCATCACCATCATCATCACCAACCTGTATAGTATGATTCCGGCTATGGTTTTACGTATACCTGACTCCTACCTACCTACCTTCTTGCTTGGGTCGCGTGATTATGCTCGCGACTCCGTGACTTAAGCTACGGCGGAGTCTCGTTACCACTCGCCAAGACAACAACTTGACCGATGCGATGCAATGTGTGCTGTTCTACGAGTTAAACAGAAGAAACAACTATGCTTGTACGCATGCACACAATATATTTTTTTATTTTGTTTTCTATTACTCTTTTGCGTGCACTCATGCATGTGTCCTAATATCGACAAAGCTTCTCATGGGATTCTAACTCTGGTTCAAATTCTAGGGTATCAATCGTGGGAAGATATAGAAACGTTGAATGGTACCCTGTTGTCATTGATGAGATCGAAGGTACCTAGTTGAAAGGAATATGCCCTAGGAAATCTATTTTATTTACCATCCCAACAGTGGTATTCTATCGATCTACACTCTATTTCGAAGAAATATTTTCAATGAAAATTTAATCTGATACTAAATTATTATATCCCACATTAGGATATCAAATTGAAAAGTAATTTAATTGAAGAAACTATTAACTGGACACACAGAAGCCTTAAAATATCGTTGACAAAAATGATGGTAGAATTGTATGGAAAATTACAGTGAATAAAATTGAACGAGACGGTAGAAAGACTCGTGCACTTGCACGAGCATACATACCTGAGCAACCGGATCTCATTGACTCCTTGACCTTCGAGTTTAAGAAGCGAAGTTCCCTTGACCTCAGAATAAATAAACTGACGAAACTACTCCCTCCACTGTTGGGTTGTGTTAACGCTAAGAAAAGCGAATCGTGTCATGATTTTTCGCTCAGTCTTTTCAGCAACACAAAATATTCTTATTTTCTAAACAACTGTTTAATGAGATGATGACTTATTATGGCTCTTATTATGGTTTTTTTTTTTTACGGATGTATAGAATCCATTAATGATGATTTGGAAAAGATTTGCTGACACTCTACTGTGTTGCGGACGCATTCGTCAACAGCTGACTTTGCCGCTATTATCTCATGTATTATGAATGATTCATGAGAAACTTCTTCATCACCTACGTGGCCTGTTTTTATCAAATTCACAAGATTTTTCTCTGTCGTTTTTTTTTTTTTTTTAAAGAAAAGACACTCTTTCGTAAGTTGATATAAAAGTTAGCCAATGAATTTTATTATTACGCGTAAGATAAACTCATATTCTACGTTGTAGAAAAATATTTTGTTGAACGATTAAGTGGTTTCGAGAACAAATGTAATCGTATAGTATATCGATTATGAAACAACTCATCAACTAACGATGCACTCTTAGCGTTTAATTTATTGATAATGTTTATTATTGCTTAAGTGCAACGTAATTTATAGATAAATGATAGGAAAAACTGACCTAAGCTACCTTTTATTTACTTTTACGTTAGATTATTAGAAAATTGAAATTTGTTGAAAAATGTGTTGATCTTTCGTTAAAATTCAAGACACAGGTTTCAGCAGCTTACTCTAATCTGTATTTTATACAATTTTTATGAATCATCGAAGGAAGTGACTCGGCCAAATTGGCCATCATCGCATCCAGGTGTTACGGTCAGCTGTACTTGGTTGGTGGGCACTTGAACGAATTCTTTCTATATCCACGAACAAGGGATAGGTTTATCGACAGTTAGCTTATCACAAGAGATAAGGGAACCTTAATTCCGTGAGTGCATTCTTAGTACATATAAATATAAGAACTGAAATTCCATAAAGTTTCCTCAGACGGCACGCTATTTCAGATAATCGTACTTCTTGATCGTTATTAATACTTAACTTTTGATAAGATCTTGTTTGTTTGTATTTTTTTATTTCTCAAAATATTTTTACTTACAGTTTCAACCTTATCGATCATATTTATCCGACTTTTATTAATCTTTTCCATCATCAATAATTCGTCATTATATTTATTAACAACTCGTGACAAAGTTAAATGAAATTTTGGAAAATAATGATGAAAATTGTAATTAAATCTTATTATTATTTTATTTTATTTTATTTGAAATCGATCATACGAGCTGTTGTAAGAAAAATGACGTTGTATATACTAGAAGGAGTGTTTAGATTGTTCCTGGAATAAGATTGAACAAATAAGTGCGTGTGTACTTGATAAAGATATACACGTGTTTTATTTATCAAGATATCTTTTTTCGATTAGAGTTCTGGCAGGTGTGCAGTTAATCTTGTATACGAGTACGAGCGGTCAAGGATCACCAGATTGTATTTTTGATTTTTGATTTTGTGGCCTTGTTACTATTGTTAACGACGACTATGATCAAAGGTTAGACGAATGTGAAATTTAATTAATAAGACAATCACGTAAAGAACTTGTCAGGTATTTTTTAACAACAAGAATTTTATACGACCTATCAAAAATCAGCACGAATTTTTTCGAACAAATCAATATATTGCGTTAGGTATTTTTTTTTTTTTTTTAATAATAATAAAAGGAAAAGAGGATGTGAAAAGGTGGGAAATCTCGCGTTGTCGAAGAACGTAGACTGCCTATAATTAGCGAAACGACTACGACGAAGACTACGACGAAGACTACGACGATGTTTCTCGCGTTCCTCTCACCTCCTCCCTTTTGAGATCGCGAATGGTGAAACTCAATCGAGTCTGTTCTCTTCTTCGTCTTCTTCTTCCACAGCTGCCCGACGAGCAGCAAGCACATTACACATCGTGCAACGAACGACCCCAAAGCGAGAGTCCGTGGTAATCGTGTGCTTCCTGCCGCATCGCATTCGTCGTCGTCGTCGTCGTCGTTGTCGTCGTCGTCGTAGTTGTCGTAGTCTTCGTCAGTACTACCACTACTACTACTACTATTAATACTAATACTACTTCAAGTGCGTAGGTATTTGCCTCGCGTGTACACTCGTACGAATAAATTTCCCTTGACTAAGCGAGAATTGCAACGGTATTAACAATACACCTAAACTTCTCATCTCTGATATTTCATTTATCAATTTTCATTGATAAATTTCAACTAATCCAATATTTTTGATCATCTTGTACTCAAAAGCAATCCTATTAATATTACATTTAACTCGTAGTTAACAATTGTTAAGATGCAAGTCAGTCATTCGTTCATAGTCAGTCAGGTAACAACGTGTATCTCTTTCTTCCTTTTTAAGCACGAACACCGTTGAGGAGGAACGTGCTTGAGCTTAAAATATATACATAAGAAAATATATTTTCCTCGTTTAATTTTGAAAATCATTATATCGTTTACAATTAAAATATGTATCTAAATGATGAATGCATTACAACAAATCTAAGACTAAATTTGTTCTCTCGTTGAAGTATGTATTTTTTTATTTCTTTTTTTTTTCTTCTTCTTTTTTTCTTTTTTTTCTCTCTCTCTCTCTCTCTCTCTTTAGTGCTCAGGAAGAAAGCATGGGAGTGCCCCCTCGAAAATTATTCCGTGGAGTGTATCTTGGCATCCGATGATTGTGCGCCAGAGGCTAGAGTGGTCTTTCGGAGTGCACGTGCGCCTTGCACGTGTTAGCTGTGGGGCGACCCTCCCGATTCCTGACTGCCTACAGACTGTAACATCGTATCAGGGCCACACTATAACTATATACTGCCGTCTATATAACTATATATATATACATATATATTGCCGCTCTGCTTCACCACGAATTTTCTCTTTATCTTTTTCCTCTGTTCTCTCTCGTTTTATTCATTACGAAGGAAAATTAACACGACGTTAATTGTAAACGTGCTCATTGAGCTGGTATTGGGGTGAGGGGTTCTACTCAATTGCCATCATCCTCATTTTTTTTTTGGTCTCATCGTTCATTCGCGAAAAAATGTCTCTTTTTTTTTAATTTTATTTATCATCGTTGCATCATACGAACGAAACGAAAAGTTAGGTTGACAAGGGAATCAGTGCTTAAAACTAACGCGAACATTCGCTATTTGCGCAGCTGTTCAAACGGGCCGCGAAAATACAAGCAGCTCTCTCGTCATTCGTTTTTAAAATTATCCCCGGAGTCGTCCTCGAGTGTGCCCATGCCATGGCAGAAAGCAGATTCGTCGTTTGTACGATTTTATGCATACGCATTTAAAGTTAGCGGGTACACATACGATACGATATATGCGAATCGTCGTCATTAACGCAACGAGATTATTATTCGCGTCTTCTTGACCTCCTTTTTCTTTTTTTTTTTCGTCTCTAGGATTCTCCTCAAGTCGCGATCTAGAACACAAATCATATT